ACGTTCTCGCTATAATTGTTAAAAACTAGATAATGAAAATTCCAGCCAAATTACGTCATTCGGAGCGACGTTGGGGCTGTTTGGGGAACAGTGGAGTGTCGATTGTCATTGCTACCGTTGTTACGATAGTAAACAAAAACTCGAGTATCCAATTTTTAATTAAATCATTAACCACCAATCGTGTTTAAATCCTTTGAAAATCTCGATCATCCGATGGCATCGAGAATTTATTATGATCTTGGCAGGTTAATAAATGTCTAATTAATAATTTAAATAACACTTAAAGTAGCTAAGTTTCTAACTCCGTATCATCCAAAGTCTTCGACATTCAAAACACGAATTATTTGTCAATTTAAATCAACATTGATGTTGTGATCTTAGCGGTAAAAGATGGGCTTCGATATCCAATATTTAAAACAAAATAAACAATTTACCATTGGTACACGAAACGTGTACCATAATGCGTTACAGCGCCATTTGTAACAAGTGAGCCGAAGAACGAGGCTAGACATATTCCACAAGTCATGTCAAACGGTGATGGCATATTAATAGCTGGAGAGCATACGCACTAAATACTATCGGTGTAGACTGGAATAGCCTTACGCTAGAGATTGCCATTCGACTGAGACTTCTGGCGTATTTCTCCATACATACCTGATTAGAAATTACAGTAAAAACAGACACGATTGAATGTAAATCAGTTTATATACATTCATATTATATGCGTTGCGACAAATTTGTGTCAATTTCTAGGTCTCAAATGTTAGCGATTTAGCTCCTTGAAGGCCTAAAGAAAGACCTGCAATAGGCAGATTTAGCTCTTGCATAATGCATCTTTAATATCATTTTAAGACCGTTATTAATGGTGTGTATAACACAACAAGGTCGTGTCGAGTTATGGTTAGTGTAAAGAAACAAACAAACAAACAACAGCTAAGTCTATTGAGATGACTTTCATTAGCTGTGAATGTTTTAAAATTGAAGTAAAACTGAACGTGACAGTCACATTCTATAATGGTGTTAACGACCACACTTAGATCTAATAAGGCAGGCATTGGTTGGAAATACATTCTTGTAATAAAAAAAAAGTTTCGATTCAAACGAATCTATAAACTATACTAGTGCAGTGTATTTAAACATACATTATGCAAGAGCTAAATCTGTCTATTGCTGGTCTTTCTTTAGGCCTGAAATATTCTCTAAATTATTAATTAGACATCAATTAACTTATCCAGGCCATAATCAACTATCGATGGCATCGGATTTCTCCGATATTAAATAGATTAGAAAAGTTTAGCCATATTTTGATTTAAGCTTAAACTATAGGAGCGAGATTTAGCTTCGAACAACCAGTAGGGTGGTTGAAATTATTGCACACGTCTTGTCAAACCTCCAAAGGATAATATCTTCGCTCGCAATAGAGTAATTTGAATGAAATTTTTAAATTATTTATTTTACATTATCTATTTTCGAACTATTATAGCAAGAATGGGTAGCTCTTTATCTAAATCTTACATAGTGTATCTTTAAATATACCACACGTAGAATCTATAAACTAGTTAATTACTAGTGAACAATTGCAGTCACGAATAGTATTAAATATACTATGAGAAGAATCTACAAACCAGTCACGTGGCTAAGTGGGTAAGACGCTGGCTCGCTAGCCTGGAGGTCGGGTGTTCGATCCCTGCATTGGCCGAGAAAGTTCACCCAGATTTTCCGGCGTGGTTTCCCCTTGTCAGTGATGCAGGATGGAGTGCCTGACAAGGACAGCTGTCTAGTCGTTCGGATGGGACGAAAAACCGAGTTCCCGTGTACACATTGGCGTGTACGTAAAAGATTCCTTGGCAGTTGGAATTCGATATAAGAGTAGGCCGTAGCGCCACTGCCCGGGAAAAATTTCCCTCATAGCACACTGTATGGCGCATGCCCGTCTTCATTAGCCCAGGTTAGGAGCAGACCAGTAGGACGTTAAACCCCATTTCATTTCATTTCATTTGCATTAATAAACCGGCGAACTATTGAAATAAATGGGGTTTAACGTCCTACTGTTCTGCTCCTAACCTGGGCTAATGAAAACGGGCATACGCCATACAGTGTGCTATGAGGGAAATTTTGCCCGGGCAGCGGCACTATGGCCTACTCCTACATCCAACTCCAACTGTCAAGGGATCTTTTACGTGCATGCCAATGTATACACGGGACCTCGTTTTTTCTTCTACGAACTATTGAAGTTATGCATAGTATTAAATATATTACAAGAAGGATCGGGATCTGTTGTCACGAAGTGGCACGATTCGTGATCACCTTGTACAACTTTAATGTCTTACAAATTATGTACATAATTACCAATAGTAAAATCCCCTCGAGAAAACATCGTACATTTCTGGTCGCCATTTGTATTTGTCAGCAGGGCCGTAACTAGCTTAGAGCAACGAGGGGGCGGGAAGTGTTCTCAGGGGTGTTGTAAAATTGACGGACAATGTATATCTATTGTTTTTATGGTCGAAAATTCTGTTACGGGGCGGGGGAGACGAAACATACCCCCCCCCCCCCCGCAGTGGGAGGAAACCGGAGGACCCGGAGAAAACCCACGAGGTTGGACAGACGACCCTACTCCTTGTCACGTACAACCGGGGATTCGAAACCACGCCAGTTGATTCAATGACAGACTTTATGATACAGCGCACACGTGCTAACCATATCCGACTGTAATCAAAGGCAAATTATATATCAATGGAATATATCTAGTTAATTTATAACAAGGTTTGGATTATCTACCTGTCTGGGCCCTGTTTCTCGAAATTTTAACTAAAGATAAAATCCAAATTTTAGTATACTAAAATCAATCTAATATGATCAAATCAAAGTAATAAAAGTTGGATTTTATCTTAGTTAAAATTTCGTGAAACAGCCCCTGGTGTGTTTTAAGGCTTTGATAACAAATGGCTGATTTTTATAACTTGTCGAATAGAGAAACTGATCTAAGAACTATCATATTATTATTCTGTTATCGTTACGATGGCAGTAATTGACAGACCTATTCCCTAAAAATGGGAAGAGTGAAGTTGGATGCCAATCACTGCAACTTACCAAGAAAATTTAAATTTTGATGTCGGTCTATCTAATTATGTGGAAAATTTATATGAAGCCCGAAACGAATTTTTAATTTGTATGGCCATATGGCTTTTTTTTTGTTTTTGGTTATCTTCATATTTTTTTTTTAATTACGTGATTCGGTGGTGTCAGAATTTGAGAAAAATTATTTTTCGGTGTCATTTAACACATGATGTTGTCAAAAGTATATCACGAATTCTAAATAAATAAATTAAAAAAAAGACATTTTCTCCAATAATCTTTGTGGCCAGATTTCGCCCTATTTGACAGCGTACGTCAAAATGTCAACATTTTCGATGTTTAGTCCTGTAGATATCTAGTAAATGGATGTATAGCTGTCTACTTTGAAAAAAAACCCAAATCGCTTTACCCCACCACTTGAGTGATCCCTTAACCCCCCCCCCCTCCATTACTTCATTGGTAAGCCTTAGATACGACAAGAATAGGGAGAGAAAGAGGGAGAGAAATGGGGTTTAACGTCCACTCGACATAAAATAGTTCATTTCGGGACTAACATATGGTTTTATTTTTATTTCAATCATTTGCTTGCACGTAGGGGTCTTTAGCAGTGGGAGGAAACCGGAGAACCCGGAGAAAACCCACGAGGTTGGATAGGCGACCCTACTCCTTGTCACGTACAACCGGGGAATCGAAACTCAATGTTAGACCTTATGACACAGCGCGCACGTGCTAACCATTCAGCCATCCAACTTCCTGCGACAAGAATAATATTTTGCAATTCATTTAACATTTCTGCAAATAGAAGTGACGTCATTTGTATTGTTTGCACAATATCTAATCCATGCTAAAAAGGATTCAAATAGTTTTTTTTAAATTGAAAGTAGAAAGTATATTTATACCAAAACCGAAATTTGGATGGTAGATAAGCACCCGGTGGGGAGCCACGGTGGCTAAGTGGGTAAGACGCTGGCTGGCTGGCCTGGAGGTCGCATGTTTGATCCCCGAATTGGCCGAGAAAGTTCATTGGGATTTTCCGACGGGGTTTCCCCTTGTCAGTGGTGCAGGAATGACAAGGACAGCTGTCTAATCGTTCGGATGGGACGAAAAACCGTTGCATTGTACACGTAAAAGATCCCTTGGCAGTTGGAATTCGATATAAGAGTATGCCATAGTGCCACTGCCAGGGCATTTTTGCCCTCATAGTACACTGTATGACGTATGCCCGTCTTCATTAGCAGAATAGTAGGACGTTAAACCTCGTTTCATTGATATTCTTTTGGAGATGTAACTTTCACAATATTGTAGTTTTCAGTGGATTCAAAAATCTCTCGAATGACGACCAGCGGCCTTATTTTCCCACCGAAGTTGAAGCAGACAAAAACTACTTAATAAGCTACTGATTGAATTGTTAATAAAAAGGAACAGACAGATAATGTGTCTTTAATGTTTGTGGTATAAAAAAAACCCTCTTTGTTTATATTAAAAGTGGTAATGAAAAATTACACTGCAACCGGTGAACAAACAATAACATAGACTTTATATATGGAGATGGAAAATGTCTATACCGACATAATAAATAAACAACAGAATGTGTTTTTTCAAATCTCTCAAAATATACATAGCTAATGATAAAAAATGAACAAAATGCGTTATAAAAAGCATAATTAATGATTTATTTAAAAATGTTTAGTGTAATACGCTTGTGAACATATAGAGACCCTGTGTATGATAATGACAAAAATGTAAGAAATATAATTAATGATTTATTTTAAAATGTTCCGTGTAATACCAATATCTTGTTAACATAGAGAATGTGAGTGAAGGCCGTGACCTCGGATAGGTCAGCCAGTTAGACGTGTCTTCTAACTCGGGATACATCCATCAAGTGATGCGTGTTGACGTGGGGTGGGGCTGCTTGTTAAGCCTTACTATAAATACAGATCTTGAGCGCCTTTACAAATCAGACCAGCATCTCTCTAGCGATATTAAAACAGCTTTAGAATTTGTTGTAGATTTTCTTCTACCAGAAACTTAAAAATCAAGATGTCCAGACTTATTAGTGTCGTAAGTAGATTTATTTTCTCTTTTTTTTTCGTAGGACAAATGCCGGTTATCTAAAATACAAAACTGAATTAGGCTATTTAAAAAAAAGACTCTAAGAAATAAGATATAATCAAATTTCTGGAAGTGAAATAAGTGCTTATCATTTGAGCAAATGCTTTATTTGGTTAGGAAACATTTTGATCATTGGCACGTATCGGGGGACAACACGCAGATGTTCAGAACTTGCCAGGTCTGGTTCAGTAGGGTTTTTTTTGTTTCTTTGCACGAATTAAGGTATTCAACTTGGAAATGTGCCACAATTCGCAATAATTTCTAATACATTAAAATTATAGTTTTATTAACAGGAAATGTGCGGCATTTCGCTGCAGAAATTTGTTTTATAGTTGGTTGAAAGTCTGTGTTTCTTTAGGATGTTGGTTTAAATTCACATGAGCGAAATCAGATTCAATCAAAAACTTACATTAAAAAATAACCACACACGATAGTCGACAGATGAAATGTTTCTAGAAGCTGTAGCTTTTCTTGGGGTGGGGTGGAGTGAGTTTACTCACTCGCACATTTGGTGATACTTTTCATGACAAATATCCACACACGATAGTCGACAGATGAAATGTTTCTAGAAGCTGTAGCTTTTCTTGGGGTGGGGTGGAGTGAGTTTACTCACTCGCACATTTGGTGATACTTTTCGGGACAGATCCAACATTGGTTGTTACGTACGTTTGTATTTTATTAGAATTCATCAGCTTCAGAAAATTGTTTTACCCCTTACACCACACATGTTTAGTTGGGGAGGAAAGAGGTGGTGTACACAGTATAACATACTGTATATTCTATATCGTTTATTTTTTTTGTTATTTTATTATTTAATTCAAATTAAATAGTGCAGATAAGTTTCCAATACTGATGAAAAAAAATATGTTAATTTGAAGATAATTTTCGGCAACATGTATTCAGTGTGGCTAAGTGGGTAAGACGCTGGCTCGCCAGCCTGGAGGTCGCGTGTTCGATCCCTGCATTGGCCGAGAATGATCATCGAGATTTTCCGACGTGGTTTCTCCCTTACCAGTGGTGCACGACGGAGGGCATGGCAAGGACAGCTCTCTAGTCGTTCGGATGGGACGAAAATCCGAAGTCCTGTGTATACATTGGCATGCACGTAAAAGATCCCTTGGCAGTAGCCCATAGTGCCTCTGTCTGGGCAAAATTTCCCTCGTAGCACACTGTATGGCGTATGCCCGTCTTCATTAGCCCAGTCGGAGCAGAACAGTAAGACGTTAAACAACATTTAATTTCATTTCATTGATTTTAGGTACAAACCGAAAACGATTTCTATGAGCTTTAAACGATTATTGCTTTTGAAAAAACAACGAAAGTTGTTTATTTCTTCTTTTTTTGCGCGGGGGGGGGGGGGTGTATCATAAGGTCTATCATTGAGTCAACTGGCGTGGTATCGATTCCCCGGTTGTATGTGTCAAGGAAGTAAGGTCGCTTGTTCAACCTCGTGGATTTTCTCGGATCCTCTGGTTTCCTCCCACTGCTAAAGACCCCTACGCACAATCGAGTTATTGAAATAAAATTGAAAAATATGTTTGTTTCGAAATGACCTAGTTTATGTCGAGTGGACGTTAAACCCCATTTCTCTCCCTCTTTTTTTTTTAGAACACGCTCTTTTATTAAGATTGTAACATTATTAATATGTTTACTTGTATCTTCTAGGAAAGATTTTGTTTTTATGATTATGTTAGTCCCAAAATGACCTAGTTAATGTCGAGTGGGCGTTACATTATTAATATGTTTACTTGTATTTTCTAGAAAAGATTTTGTTTTTATGTTAAAAGAAACTTATGGCCTCATTAATAAGTCATAATATGTCAACATAAAAACGCCCCAAAATATTTATATTTACTTCATCTACAACAACTCAGTTTTACAGCTAATTAGATAACAATAAAATGATGAACATGTGACATTTTAAAACTTTTAGCTTTATAAAAACCAGTTCGCATTCTTGGAACTTGTCAAAGCAGGTGTTTCATGTTAAATTAAAAGTCCCAGGGGCATTAAAAGTTTACAGTTCATAATTTACACGTTGGATTGTTTTGGCTTTTATATTTTGAATTTTGAACATTTCTAATATTTTTTTTAAGCATCCCTTAAATTGTATGCTTTGGGCGTGTTGTTGTTGTTCTAAATAGGAGGGGATTGGATGGCCGAACGGTTAACACGTGCGCGCTGTATAGTTAGGTCTGTCATTGAGTCAACTGGCGTGGTTTCGATTCCCCAGTTGTACGTGACAAGGATTAGGCTCGCCTGTCCAATCTTGTGGGTTTTCTCCGGGTCCCCCCCCCCCCATACTGCTAAAGACCCCTACGTGCAAGCAAGTTGTTGAAATAAAATTGAGCAATATGTCGGTCCCGAAACGACCTAGTTTGTGTCGAGTGGACGTTACTGAGAGGGACGACACCGGGGCGAGTAAATTACAATGTAGCCCTCAATATGACCTTTTTGTCTTCTGTAACAAATTCTAAAACAATTTTTTAAATTATAAATAAAGAAATAAAGGTGTTTCAAGTATATCTGGGTAGAAAAATATTTCCTATTAAGTGTAAATAGATACTTTTAATAGTACGTGAAGCCGTTAAACGAGTAAATGGCACCGATTCTGTCCAGACCAGTTAAAAGAAGAAGTTCGCATTACCGCCGTGGATCAGTTAAGGTGTTGGAAAGCCCTTCCTAGGTCCGAACTACCCCTGTATACCAAATTTCAGTCCTTGTGCAGCCCTAGTGTAGCCGTCAACAGTCACAAATATTCTTAAAGATAAATGATGGCACGATTTTGTGGGTATATGAATGCCGTGCGGTAAATTTGTAATCGGTGCCTCCTTTATAATATTTCCCAAAACAGAGTTGTCTTCCCTTAAGGTCCACACTAATGCTGGATAGCGACACCTGTGTGGAGAATGCCTTTATGATAGAACCTCAAAAATACTATTTTTTGCAGATTAGAACTGTTAATGGGTGTTCTAGAAAAGGTGAGCATCTAACTGTTGATTCGAAGCGAGCTATTGCAAATCACAAAATATCTGTTTTGATTTATTTGCAGTGAACCGTTCTTACAAATCATTTTCCTGTATTTATTAAAATGTTAAATATTGCTATTTCTTTCTATTTTAAGTTACTCTGTGTCGTCTTTGTATCATGTGCCCTTGCACAGGTGGGAATGCCACAAAATAGCCAACAAGCACCAGTTGGCAATGCCTATGGAATGCATCCACCCGCCGGAGGCAATAGTAAGTTAATACATTTGTTTTTATCCAGTTTTAATTCACTATGTTTACTGTTTAAAGGAGCTAAATCGCTAATATTCGGGACCTAGAAGTTGACAAAAATGTGTCGTAACGCATATAATAATGTAATATGAATGTATATAAACTGATTTACATTCAATCATTTCCGTATTTACTCTAATTTCTAATCAGTTATGTTCGGCGAAATACGCCAGGGCCCTTATTCACGAAAACTTAAACCAAGATACAATCGAAATTTTAAGAAATACTGCAATTCGATTGGCTGACCAATATGCAAATTGGATATATGCAAATTGATTTTACTGGTCAGCCAATCGAATTGCAGTATTTCTTAAAATTTCGATTGTATCTTAGTTTAAGTTTTCGTGAATAAGGGCCATGAAGTCTAAATCGAATAGCAATCTCTAGCGTCTGGTTATCCAGTCTACAGTGCTAGTTTGACATGACTTGTGGAATATGTCTAGCCCACTGATCTAGAAGCAAGCGTATTATGGAAATATAACTGTACTATATGTTAGTACTGAAATTACCCATTTTGTGTTGAATGGAAGTTAACACACTCTCTTTCTTATTGGCTTAATGAATTCAATTTTTATTCAGATATGATGATGAATCCATGGCTTTGGATGTAAGTATTACTATCTTTTATCTTCCGTTAATCGGCTGTCCTGTAATGGGAAATGTAACGAAATGAAATGGGTTTAGCGTCCTACTATTCTGCTCCGACTGGGGTAATGAAGACGGGCATACGCCATACAATGTTCTATGAGAGACATTTTGCCCGGGCAGCGGCACTATGGCCTACTCTTGAATCGAATTCCAACCGTCAAGGGATCTTTTACGTGCACACCAATGCATACACGGGACCTCGGTTTCTCGTCCCATCCGAACGACTGGACAGCTGTCCTTGTCAGACCCTCTGTTCTGCACCACTGACAATGAGAAACCACTCCGTAAAATCAAGATGAACTTTCTCGGCCAATGCAGGGATCCAACACCCGACCTCCAGGCTAGCGAGCCATCCTACCCACTTAGCCACCGTGACTCACCTCCTGTAATGGAGTACGAGGGTGCACAAGGCCTGTGAATTGTGGTATACCGTTTTAGAGAATGATTCTTAGTAGTTTAGCCTTGATAATTACTTGGCTTGGAATACAATTGTCTAACACTAATGTCCCTCTCCTATGGATAATAATCCATCAAGTTACGTCCGATATACGCCAATATCGAAAGGAACTGAGATGTTTGAGATAGTTAGTTAAAATCGGATAAATATTGTAACCTGTTGAGTGTCCACAAACAAATGTGAACAGAGGGACGTATATAAATCACAACTAACCGACGCAAAACTGCAATTGTCTTCAGGGCCGTAACTAGCTCAGAACAATGAGGGGGGCGGGGAGTGTTCTCGGGTGTGCTGTAATATTGACGGACAATGTATATCTATTTATTATATGGTTGAAAATTTGTTCACGGGGGGGGGGGGGGCGAAACTTTTTCCAGGGGGATCCTGCGCCCCCCCCCCCCACTAGTTACGGGCCTGATTGTCTTCCTTTGTCACTTGGTAATAATCATATTGTGTCAGCATAATAACAGATATTGCTAACAACAGATTGGCGCTACAAATGATCAAAAAAGGTTACCATGGGGATATATTTGAATTCATTTTTAATGTATTTAACATACATTATGAAAGAGCCAAATCTGCCTATTGCAAGTCTTTCTTTAGGCCTGAAATATTATATTATTAACAAAACAAGACCATAATCAACTCTCGATCGCATCGGGTACTCGAGATTTTAACTAGATTAGAACGGTTCGCCATTTCAAAATTTAATTTAAAAATGGGAAAGCGAGGCTAAGTCTCGAATATACCATTGCCCTGGTTACCACAATACACACATCTTGCCAAAACATCAAACAGTGATAACTTGGCTCAGAATAAAGTAATTTGAATGAAATTTTCAATATTTTCATTTTACATCATCTATTTTTGAGCTATTATAGCAAGAATGGTCAGCTCTTTACCTAAATCTTACATAATGTATCTTTAACGTATGTTTTGTTTTGCCTTCATTAATACAGGTTAGGGGGTGGTAACGATATGATGTGGCGAATGATGATGATGCAACAGTTCGGACCAATGGGATTATTTTTGGGTAACTAATCAACGAATATCGACAGACATCCACATTTTCTAGCAAGCCATTCCGAGGAGGGATTCGTACAATTTGGCTTTAGATACTTCCACTATCTACCTTTCTGTGTATATTTTCCTTTTATATTAATAATGTGACGTCCATCTTGGATTAATATTGTCGCGTCCATTTTGGATATTTACATGTTCAGCTATCTTTATTTAAATATATGTATGTATGTATGTCGTCTGTTCTAATACCAAACGTTTGTCATGTAGGGTATTGTCGGGATCACACTTGATAGTTCTATCAAACAAAATGACAAAATCATGAACTACAGATAGGCATTTCGCCCCATACTTTTCGGACGAACTATGATATTACGAATAATGTTTTCTATTATAATTATATGATAATGTCGTACTTTGTTTCATCAATATATATTTAACAATTTTTTTTAATAAACCATGTTTTTTGAAAAGTCTCCTTTTTTCTTCTTTTTTTTCTTAAAATGTATAATTTTCTCAATATTTATTTTCGGGTTGTTTTTCATACGATGATCTCTTGGCGATGATCTCTTATTTTGGTTGCACACCTTCCTGAACAGACGGGCTAATGAAGGCGGATATATACGCGCCATGTTGTTTATACATGCTCGGGTTGTCTTTCCATCCCAATCTATTTGTCCCATCCGAGCCCAAACGACACTACGCCAGGGCCTATTTTAACGTGCCAACAGGCATGAATGTGCCTCCGGATAAACCAGCGGTTGCCAGGCAAGATACGCTCACACTTTGCAAGAGATTGACAAAGAACACTTTAAATAAAAATGGAATATTTTTCACAATCAGGGGCCATAATCCAAACGGTTACGGTCCGATATGCACGAATATCGACAGGAACCGAGATCATTTGGTTATGAACATATATTTTAAGTGTCAGAAGATCGGAAAAAAAACTGTGAACCGTAGAGTGTCCACAAACAAAATGCGGACGGGGGCGACGACAATATACGTCCACATCTGAAATCCGTGCTTTGAAAAAAAGTGCTATGTAGCCTTGTGGATCTGGCAAGATTGTATGATGGAACGTAGCTATCATTATGATCATCGACCACTTTCGATTTTTGTTTCAAAAGTTTTATAGTGACGTATTCCCACGAGCACCTGAAGTACGAAAATTACATAGCAGAACATCGTCAGGTGCAGGTGACAGTGAAGGCTCGTTTGCCTTTGGATCGAATTCGGATGTTTCTTTGGACTGATACTGACACACGGTTAGAAATATAAATATGTTAATTCTGTTATATTTCGGTTATATAAATGTAATCGGAAGTCAAATTCAGGAATTTGCCAATATAGGCTTAAAATAGACCGTGCGCTACGCCTTTCCTTAATATTAATAAGTACTTAATAATGACGGTTAGCCATTAAATAAGCAATACAGGATTGACACCATTCGTATCCAGTAGATCTTTGGATTAAAGATTATCATTCTTGGGTCTAATGACGTACTAACATGTCACTGTTTACATATTTTCACACATGCAAGTTAATGACAACAAAGAATTGTTAAACTATTGAACAAAGAACGCATCTTAAATTACAACTGTTTCAATATATACTCAGCCAAATTAAAAACTTGACACTGATGAATTTCAACAAAAATTTTTTTCTGGTAAGTCAAATAAATTTTAAAGTGTTTCTAACGATAGTAAGTAGTAAGAAGCCTTTAATTTCATAAAATTGTAAAGTCACGTGGATCACGTGACTTTTGAGCATATAAAGATGAAAAACCTGAAAAACACGTGCAAACACAAACTCGTGAGGTCAATCGATGCAAGTTTGCTTAAACTGAACACGCACACTTAACTTGAACTGGAAAAACAAATTAAAATTGTTATTTTTCATCTTTGTTAGAAAATGCCGCGCCTTTCAAATGTAGAACGTCTACGTGCTATAGGTAGGCTCTATGCTGGTCAGTCTGTGGACACTGTTGCAAGAGCCTTTAATTGTTTACGCCAGACAATAATTAATCTTAGAATGAGAGTACTTCAAACTGGAACTATTGCCGACCGCCCAAGGACGGGAGCGCCACGTGTGACGTCACTCCAGGAAGATCAAGCAATACGATTACGTCATCTTAGAAACAGATTTGTCACTGCAACCTCCACAAGTAGTGAGATGTTTGGTGGAAAGGTAACTGCACAAACTGTTCGAAATCGCTTGCAGCCTCGTCTTCGAGTTCGGAGGCCCTATAATGGACCAATATTGACACCTCTTCATCGCCGTAACCGACTTGTGTGGGCCACAAGACACATAAGATTTACTCAAAGACAGTGGAATTCGGTTGTCTTTAGTGACGAATCTCGATTCACTTTGAGATTTGCCGATGGCAAGGCCCGAGTGAACCGCCGACGAGGTGAACGTTACGCTCAAGTATGCGTCAGAGAAGTTGACCGATTTGGTGGCGGCATCGTCATGGTTTGGGGGTTCTTTTTTGTGCACATGGACGTTCTCCTCTTGTTGTTGTCCAAGGGAACTTAAATGCTGTCCAGTACAGGGATCAGATTTTGCAACCTGTTCTTCCGTTTATGCAGAGACATGGGCCTGGACTAACGTTTCAACAAGACAATGCTCGACCCCATACAGCAATTGCTACCCAGAATTTTTTAAGAAATGCCGGTGTCCACGTCCTGGAATGACCGTCGCTTAGCCCCGACCTTAATCCTATTGAACACATCTGGGACGAACTGGGTCGACGTGTTCGTCAGCAAGTGAATCCACCACTGACATTGCAGGACCTTCAACATCAACATGCACTTGCTGAGCATTGGCGATGTCTTTCTCGGGAAGTGTTTACTAATGTTCTGAGATCCATGAGAAGACGTTGTGTGGCAGTACGAGACGCTAGAGGAGGCCACAACCGTTACTAAACACTTTATTCCGATTGTTCTCCAAGTCTGTGAATTTCATTTTGGAGGGTACTGTGACATCACGAACGTTATCAATGTCAAGGACTTTCGGCGAGACGTATTCTTGCTTTCTGTTGATGTCAAGGTCGTCTGTGCACAAAATAACGCTAAAATAGTTGCCTTAAACCAAATATTAAAAATCTAGTCCCAAAAATCCCGAGTGTCAAGTTTTTAATTTGGCTGGTTATATTATAATTACCTTGTAAAATGTCAATCTGATCAAAATACAGATCTATATTTCGTTTTGTTTTTTAAGATCTGACAAGTTGTACTGGCAGGTCGTGTCAGGGGTCGTACGAGCGGCTTTTGACCCTATGACGTCAGACATTGATTAATCAATCAGAGTTGACGTTTCTAGTGGTTTACCCACAGTTCCATGCATGGCACGCCAAGAAGTCGCCGTAACAGACCGTTTCATTGGCTTATCCCTCACTTCAGCCAAAACGCCGGTAATATAACAACTCTTCCAGATCCTAGTGTAGTAAAGACAAGTAAAACTAAATTTGAACTATAAAAAACGTAACGAAATAGGATCTGTGTTTTAATCATATTAGTAAAATGTTTTCAAGTAAAAATAACAGATTTCATTTTAAATGAATCTCACTATCTTAAACTTCTACACATACATTCTTAAATTTTAAAATTGATTAAAGAAACAGAGAGTGGTTGAAAATAAACAAAATATGTCGAGAAGGTAGCATTTTTCAGGCCCGTAGGTAGCCGGTAGTGGGGCGTGGGGGGGGGGGCAGCTGTTGCCAACGACCAACGTGACCATATGGGCGCTCAATAAAGCCGAGTGACATTGGTTAGGCTGCCCCCCACCCTCTGTCAACTATCTATCTGATCGCTTTACAAATAAAGAGAGAGATGGGGTTTATCGTCTACGCGACACAAACCAGGTCATTTCGGGACTAAAATGTGGTTCAATTTTATTTCAATAATTCGCTTGTGCATATGGGTCTTTAGCAGTGGGAGGAAACAGGAAGAACCGGAGAAAACCCACGATGTTGGATAAAGTATGGACAACCAAAAATAACAGCCACAAACTATAATAATACCCACTGATTTATTAATATAAAAGGGAAAGATAAAATGAATTTTGAAGAATATAGCACAATTAAAATTTGAATACTCTCAACGTTCGAACTAAGCAAAGAAGGCAATGAGAAAAACGGTCCACGCCATTACTAGAAGAGCGTTGAAGTCAAGGAAACGACGAATCCAGGGCTTCTCTCCCAATCCCTTGTAACGATTGGCTTCTTCTTCTTCCATTGCGCGACTTCTGGGTTTCGGGACAAAACTTGAATAACAGCATAATATATTATATACCCGCTGTTTAAAGGCGACGTCGTCTGGTCCTGAAAACAAGTTAAACTGTGATTATACACTAGATTCTATTAAAGGGTTCAGGTCCTGAGGGTGAAGAGGTTAAAGGTCAAGGTCATGAGGTCGTAATGGTGGAGGATGAATCTGAGTCAGCTATGGCATCTGCTCAACAACATAGAGAAGAAGGGTTAGAGATTAGTTTCAATTCAGGGTGTATCGTACTAAATTAACAGCATATAACCTACCACAACGTCTAAAACATATCTCCACAGTTAAAGGGGAAGCTAAACCCGTTTGTTTAAGGTCAAAATTAGCATTTTACCGGGTGTTACACGGTTGGAGACGAAGCCGGAAGTCATATATGTCCGAATCCGGAAGTGGTAGTGCGTACCCACCAGGTATATGTCACCCCATGTTTTAGTCTCAGGGCAGCCCATGTGTAGCCTTTAACCCCAAACGACAAACAAATAAACGACAAATATAAATATATATAGATAAAGTGTCGAATTGAAATGTTATTTTGATAGGGCCATCTATATTACCTATCGAACCATTACTAATTTTACTTTCATTTTTGAATTAGAACGTGACCTTAAAGATAAACACAACAGTTCTATGGATAACAATTATTTATTTCTATTACGTTTCAACAATGATTCTCTTGTCGTTATCAAGCACATAACCACAAGAGAATTCATTGTTGAAACGTAGCTTTAATAGAAATACAGTAATTGTTATCCATAGAACTGTTGTGTTTATTTTTAATGTGTTCAATTACTAAATGCCATTCAAACAGTATAGAACGTGGCCTGTTTAGCACACAACATATTATACAGTATCAAAAATGAACTTTACATATAGTCATAATCAACAAATATAATTATACTTAAGATTCACAACAAAGATGGACTGCTATTTTAAAATCCCACTTCTAAGTCCTGAGTCGATTTTGCTGACCTCAGAACAAACAGAAAATAAACGTGTTTACGGGTAACCGACCGATCCTATTTTATTGGACCCCTAAATTTTGTTCTTTTGTCAAATTATCTGGATAATACAACTTTTAAACTTTTAAAACAATAAAACGGAACGAAATAAGTATTAAATTTTCATTAGATTAGTGCTAAATGATAAGGCCAGCTAAATTTTTCGTTATAGCTCAGTAGTAGAGCGCTGGACCGGCAACTGCGAGGCGAATGGGTGCCGTCATGGGTTCGATTCCCGCAAGGGTTAGGAAACGTTAGACCCACGGCCCGTACTTTCTGTGGGGGGATCTGCAAAGAACCCTCAACTCCCAATAACCCTAACCTACAATCTCGCCAACAAACACGTGCCCTAACCATATTTATATCTCAGCGACATTGACAAAAATCGAAATGGTTTTAGCAAATACATTAAGCTGGTCTGCTACACAACTTACCAGTAGGGTTATCTTCCACTTCCTCTATAGCAAGACCAGGACTGTCTTCAATATAGTCTTGTTTTTCAAATTCATCTTCATCATCACTTTCTTCCCGGGGTTCTGAATTTCTTGTTTTCCACGTAACACGCCTTAGCTGAAAACCCAAATGAAATGGGGTTTAAGGTTATGTTTTTCTACAACAAAGTTGGCTTGGTTACCAGGCGGATGAAGACGGGCATACGAAATGGGTGCGTGCTATGAGGGAAATTTTGCCCGGGTAGTGGCGATATACGTCTAACTGGCAAAAGCTCTTCTCTGTGCACGCCAATATGTACCCCGGATCTTTGGTTTTCGTCCAATCCAAAAGACCAGACGCTATTCATTGCCAGGCACATGGTCTGGCACCACCGATACCACCCAAAGCCATGTTTTGTAACTTCTGACTTCTGGTTTAATAAATAAGTACAATATCTTATAGAAATGACGCCATATTTATTTGGGATCTCTTAGGTTCTGGCTCAATAAACTATAAAAGACATTTAAAAACTGATCTCTATGACCAAACAAGACAGCCCAAATCATGTGTTGAAATAATTATATATGGCCTGATAAATACATATTTTGCATGAAGAACAGGATTTCAAGGGTACAGAAACCCAATATTGGTATCGGTGGTGTGTGTGTGTGGGGGGGGGGGGCGTGCTCTAAGAAATGTTTGGGCACATAGGACATACAAGACTCTATCTGTAGTATATCTGAGCCATGGTATGAATGAAATTCTAAAGCTGGTCACGGCACCAAAAACCTCTATAAAAGCCTGAAGATTTAAATTATACAATTTTTTTTCCAAACTTGGTTAATTGAAGATGAGTTCCAACATTGTTATTTAAAATTACAGAAAACATAATCTTCAAACAAAAAATATCAATTTACAGAAAATATCATTCATAAAATATGAAAATAAAATTTATAAAATATGAAAATAAAACTTATAAAATATGAAAATAAAATTTATAAAATATCAAAATAAAATTTATAAAATATCAAAATAAAATTATCTTATCGATATTTATAAAATATCAAATTAAAAAATTACCTTATAGATATTAATAAAATTACCTTAACGTCACTTCTTGGTGTGGTTAGCAAACTAACTATAACACATACAACAAACACGATGAAGGTCAGAATGATGGCGAAATGGAGAAAATGGACTTTATAAAGTATTTCTGGTCGACTTTCAGCCACACCACAAGAAGGTTTGGGATAAGCTAAATCCATAATTAATCTGGTACCACCAACCAATAAGCCTGCCATTAAACTCCAGAAAGCACCCTGCAAAGGCAAGACGTGGTTATCATTTCCATACTAAAATAAACGAGCGTACACATACAGTGTGCTCACACGGCAAACCTCGGCATATTCCGTTACTCTAAATCTTACTGTATGACAGTAAGTGATATGTACCCAGGGACGTAGCCCCCACCCCCCACCCCCCGAAAAAAAAATTGCCGACCATAGCTCTAAAATACCTACTGTAGACTGTGCCGGGTGTGCGCCCCCCCCCCCCCCCACTAAAAACTTCACTGCCCCTCCGAAGCTAGCAAGCTGGCTACGGGCCTATGTATGTACCTGCTCCTATACAATTGCGATGCGGCACCGGTATACTTATTAGTAAGAAGTTATCAAAATTGCGTCATTCGAAGCGTGTTTAGAATTTTCAGTGCAAAGTTGTCCTGAAAGAAAAACAGCTTCAAACTGTAAAATATTTGTATGATAAAACATTCTTCAAAGCCGACGTCATGGGTAACGCCTTTGGTAATATTGGAACTTGAAAGTAGTTTCATACATCCGAGGCTAGATCTAAGGCACTGGAATCTGCTGAGGTTTGCCGAGTGACAGTGTGCTATGAGGGAAATTTTGCCCGGACAGCGGCGCTACGACCTACTCTTATATCAAATTCCAATTGCCAAGGGATCTTTTACGTGCACGCAAATGTGTACACAGGACATTGGTTTTCGTACCATCCGAACGACTATAATTTGTCTCTTGCCAGATTTGTTCTGACGATGGGTGGGGGTGGGGGGGGGTGGTATGGGGGGGCAGAAAATCACGATGAACTTTCTCGGCCAATATCCGGATCGAACACGGGACCCAACGTCTTACCCACCAAGCTACCGCGGCTCAGTATAAAGAATATGGGGCATCTCGACCTGATACTATTTCAACATAAAGGTCCCAAATAAAATGCGAGTACGTTGTAAAACAGTGTCCAAAACAACCGTATGGATAATACGGTACCTGTTCCGTTGTTCGTTTCCATAACAAACCCATAACAAACACCACGACCCATGGTGGAGCCAGGTAGGCCTGCATAGCTTGTAGATAATTCCACAGTTGTCCCCCTTGGTTAGCTTGTAAAATGGGTACCCAGAGTATACTGATCACAACCAGCAGAACGATAAAAACACTGTAAGTAGAACAAGTGACATATCGTTAAAATTACCACCTAGCCACAGCGGCAAAATCAGATAATGTCAATATTATGGAAGACCAAACAGTTCTTAATTCTTAGTTCTTAGTTCTTAATTCTTAGTTCTTAATTCATAGTCCTTAATTCTCATTTTTTCATTTGTTGTCGTATTCCGACATTTGTACACTAAAATTAACATTTGTATCTTAAAATCAATATTTGTTTTACGAATCTGACATTTGTTATAATAAGATAAAACCAAGTACGAACAATCCAAACCATAAGACAGAATTCGAAGTCCTAAAAAACGTTATAGGCAAATAGTGTATTCAAGCAAAATAGTGTAATCAGCAAATGGACTGCTCCTCGCGTACAAATTACACGACAAACAGTGGTAACAGGTGTCCGGAAGAGTAAGCTTACCCTGCCTGGCGCCAGGGTTGTGAAATGTGGTTTGGTTTAATTCAATTTGTATGCTTGCTCGAATCCCCATTGTTGTATGGTGACTTATTGTATGTCAGGTTGATAGCCGCTCTCGTCGTCATAATGTTCCGCTTAAATGAATTTCGAGAAATGTTTTCGGAGAAATGGTTCTGGAAAAATATTTTTTCTGAGAAATGTATTTGAAGAAATGTTTTTCAAAATTTATATTTGGAGATTTGTTTTTCTTTGTACGTATCTGATGAAATGTAACTGTAGGCTAATATTTTGATTTTCTAAAATAAATTTCATCTTTATATAACTAAAATTAAATTAAACAAAAATACAATTTACAAATCTTTTATGACAAATATCTGATTTGTAAAACAAATATTGATTTTAAGATACAAATGTTTATTTTAGAGTACAAATGTCTGAATACGACAACAAATGAAGAAATAAGAATTAAGAATTATGAATTAAGAACTAAGAATAAAGAACCAAGAATTAAGAGTAAGAACTAAGAATAAAGAGCTGTTTGGCCTTACATACAATATTTCCCGAACAATTTGTGTCATTTCCGACATCAATCACGTATCATCATCATAACCTTCAGGGGAGTGGATGAAAGATAGGGGAGAAATGGAGTTTAACTTCCAATCAACACAAACTAGATCATTCCAAGACTGACATATGGTACTCGGTTATTTTAATAATCTTTAGCAGTGGACGGAAACCTGAAACCTACGAGGTTAGTCAGGCTACCCTGTTCCTTGTCACGTATAAGTAAGTATGGGATCGCGACCAAGCTACTTTACCACAAATTTCTCATGTGCCATCTTTGTCATAGTAAAACCAGAGAGTATACGTTTTCTCCGGGTCTTCCGGTTTCCTCCCACTGCTAAACATAACTAAGCGCAAGCGAATTAATGAAATAAAATTGACCTAGATTTTGTCGAGTGGACGTTAAACCCCATTTCTCCCTCTATCTCTCTTATTACGGATAGTGTTAGTCCTGTCCAATAAACAATACTACATTGTTTATTGTCCTTACCGTCCGACAATCATAAGTTCTCGTTCCGATGCTTTTGTTCTGAATCTTGTCCACAGATCTAATGTAAACATACTGCTAGAACTGTTGAACACGGAGGTTAAGGTACTCATTAAAGCTGATAACATACAAGCTAACATTAAACCACGAAATCCTGAAATAAAAACAATATAAACACATTACAATAAATCTAAAAGTTAGAAATTAAACGTTAAAGTCCTCCAATAGGTCTACAAATGAAATGAAATGAAATGAAATAGGGTTTAACGTCCTACTGTTCTGCTCCGAACTGAGTTAATGAAGCCGGGTATACGCCAGGGAAAGTTTGCTCGGAAAGCGGCAGTATGGCCTACTCTTATATCGAATTCTTTAACGTGCATGCCAATGTATACACGGGGCCTCGGTTTTCTCGTCCATTCCGAACGACTAGACAGCTGTCCCTCGTTCTGCTCTGCTGGGCTAATAATTGTCTCAGAGCGCGTCAACATCGCCATATGTGTCCTAAAAGCGTGGTGGAAACGCCAAATATCGTGCTGTGGTCTCGATGGTCGCAAATGATCGCCCGAGTCACGGCGTTTGTTTTGAGCATGTTCAAGGAGGACCCGGAGAAAACCCAGGAGGTTGGACAGGCGACCCTACTTGTCAGGTACAACCGGGGAATCGAAACCCCGCCAGTTGACTCAATGACAGACCGTGTGATACAGCGCGCGTACGTGCTAACCATTCAGCCATCCATCCCCCCAGCTGACTTCAAAGAATGGATAATATGTACCAGTTTGAAGTTTTAAAGCTTTATGATTTATAAAGTAACGACGTAGGATGTCGATGCTAAGGGTTACGATCTCGAAACAAAAAATACGTTGAAACTAAGGTCGCATGACCTTAAGCATAAACTAAATATGCGGCGGGTTCGTTTTGCCAAATTGCCAAATCGGATAAGGGCCAAAAAATGCGTCTTTTTGATTGAGATTTATGGATTCGTTAAAAATCGGAAAGGAACGTCCTAAAATACTGGAACTTTATTCAATCTACTTATTTGAGAAAATATTACTTTCATTTTACTATTGCACTACGTTGTTTCGTGGTTCCAGGGTTTATCCTACTGGAATGGAACTAGCAATTCTGATTTCATTGACTACAGTGTTTAATCTTTTGACCGATAACATTCTCTAATTGAACATTCCGTTGATTCCAATCTTTATAACCACAAAGAAGTCAACAGATCGAAAAAATATCTAAGGGGGTTCATCTATAGACTGTCATTATATTCTAAACGCTGTCAAGAAAATCTATAGGCTGTCATTTTGGTTGGCGATTTCTCGGATTACCTTTACACTTGGCTGAAAAGGTTAAACCACGCCGAAAAATCTCAAAGAACTTTCTAAGTCAACACCAGGAAGTCTGACCCAAATAGATTTGTAACCAACCATAACTTTCGCCCCCCCCCCCTCCCCCGCCCCCCGTGAAAGAATTGTCGACCATAAAAACAACAGACAATAGATATACATTGTCCGTCAATTTTACAGCACCCCTTGAGAACACTTCCCACCCCCTCGTTGCTCTGAGCTAGTTACGTCCCTGGTGACAACTGACAACCATAAATAAAGTACGAGGAATACTCTAACAGCATCTAGCTTACCAGCTGGGAGAATCTCGACGACCAGTTTAGGATAAACAACATTTGAACAACCACTTGGATCATCACAGAAGGCTTTACAAACATCAGGATCAACACAACCAATTTCATCTAAAAACAACGTTTTAAATCTATTACTAAGAACACATGACACAGTTTATATGGAATACAAGTTACTTGAAGAAGAAGAATTTATTTCAGCGACGTTTCGACGAGTTGTTGTTGTTCTTAGTGTTTAACCGAAGGTGATATTGCAGACGAGTTGTCTTATTTTCATTTCTATTATCTTAGTGCACGCGTTTGGGTCTTTCCTGATGGAGGAAACCAGAGAAACCGAGTAAACCCACGAGGTTGAGAAGGCGCACCTATCTCCAAGCCACTCACGCTCACACCAGGGATAGAAACCACAACTACAAGCCAGAGGTGACCGGCCAGCTAGAGGTCGAGGCGAAACACTCTACACCACTAGGTCATCCCAGTCCCCCCCTCCCCCGTTTCGACGAAAGTTCTTCCGTCTTTATCACGTAAATAGATAGTCACGTGACAAACAATAAGTCGGACAGTCCAAACGTAACTTCAGATCGAGAATTGAAGGAGATCCCGCCGAAATTAGTCACTCACGTGACAAACAATATGTCGGTCAATCAAACCGTAACTTCAGATCTAGCATAGACGAGCTATGCATCCTACCGATTTTAGACACTTTCCTTTCATGAAATATCCGTGAATATTCACTTCATCCACGATATCCACAATATTCTCGACAGTCAATACGAAGTCCTTTCGAGGATTAAAACGGATCCTGATTCGAATTATCGCATTCTTAAAAACGGCTAAGAGAAGATGACGCAAAAGGTGTAATAGGTTTCATGGGTTTAATGTTTTGGAGACTCCTTGAGTTTCTGCGCTCCTCATTGTCAATCGGGAAAAAAAGTCAAGTTGTTTCAATGCCATAATTACTTTCCAGAGAAGACAAATTGACATAATAACTTACTGAGGAAGAGAAATTGTAATAATAACTTTACTAAGGAAGATTAAGTAACATAATTACCTAACCGGGAAGAGAGTTTGCATTATTAACTTACTAGGAATGATAAATTAGCATATATAAATTGCATTAATAACTTACTAGGGAAGAGACTTTACATTAATAACTTACTAGGGAATACGAATTGCATTAAAAACTTTACTAGGGAAGATTAAGTAACGTAATTACCTAACCGGGAAGAGAATTTGCATTATTAACTTACTAGGGAGGAGAAATAAGCATAGATAACTTGCATTAATAACTTACATGGGAAGAGACTTTACATTAATAACTTAACCAGGGAAGAGAAATTATCATAGATAACTTACCAGGGAAGAGAAATTATCATAGATAACTTACCAGGGAAGAGATATTACCATAGATAACTTACCAGGGAAGAGAACTCTTCCAATCATTCCCGGTATGATAACTAAAAAGAAAGGCGTAATCTTCAACCACGCAGCAAATATGACGCCACCTTTAGCATGTGAGTGGGTTTTAGCTGCTAAAACTCTTTGTACCATAACCTTTAAAACAGAATACAACATTCGTCATTCTTAACCACCATTAAAACGAAGTTTTTTGCACAATACTCCTTAGAGTATGGTGGTGACCCACTGATCAGAAAATCTCGAGTTTGACCTGGTGTTGGTCGAGAAAGTTCCTTGGCAGTTGGAATTTAAATAAGAGTGGGCTAGGAAATTCATATTATAGCACACTGCATGTCTTGTGCCCGTATCATTGGGACAGAAAAGTAGGAAGTTATAATAGGCTCAAAGGGGACAAGCTTCCTTTGCTAAAACAAACCATGTCTGAACTACGTAATACACATGTCTGAACTACGTAATACACATGGAGCAAATGAAACTGTGGGAGACCCTACCTGATCAGTACACCACGCTAAAATAGCCATAGGTAGAAGTCCAAATAAAGCACCTGTCCATGGTATATCCCCAGTCTCGGGGTCCCTAAAGATATGTAAGGAATCGTCACGTGGATATCCCATAGTAGTGTTTCCACACGTTGTTATATTAGGTACGGCTTGCATATATTTCTCAAACAGGGCTTCCAAACCACCAACTTTGATCGAGGCTTGAAATAAAAAGAAATGAAATGAAATGGGGTTTAACGTCCTACTGTTTTGCTCCGAACTGGACTACCATTAAACCTTCACATTTAAGTTCTACACTTAAGAAGGCTTTAGAACATTGGTAGGAGATTGAAGGTTGTGTGTGTGGGCGGGGAGGAGGGGGGGGGGTGTCCGAAACGCTGAATATCGGTAGGGTTCGTCCTCTCAAGACCCTAGTGCTTCACGCCAAATTTGAAATTAAATTGCGTTAAAAAAGTTTTCGAAAAAGGTTGTTGAACGCCGAATATCGTTAGGATTCGTACCGTCCCGCTTTGAACAAAATTTAATAATAATAATAAAAACTCGTTAAAATCTGTACCATCTATCGCGTTAACAAATTTTTTGGAAAAGTAGGGGTAACTCCGCAACGGAAGGTCACAGAAAGCTGACTATCGGTAGGTACTATAAAGTTTGTCCTTTCATACCGAATTGGGAAAAATTCGTTCAAATCAGTAGCCTCTATCGAGTTAACTGGGTTTTTGGAAAAGGGTGCGTGTGTGTGTGTGTGGGGGGGGGGGGGGCGGTAATTCCGGGAACGGAAAGTCTCACAACCCTGAATCCCGGAAGGCTCGTGTTCTCATGATCCTAATACCTGAACAGAAATTCGTTAAAAGATATATTCGTTTTCACGTTAACAGTGTTTTCGGAAAATTGGGAATATTCAAGATAAGCCCACATATTCCACGACGCAGGAAAATGGAAAATTGATAGGCCTCACTCTCTCAATGTACCAATCCTTAACACCAAATTAAAAACTGTAGCCTCTGTCGCGTCTAGAAGCTTTTCGGAAAAGCGGTGCAATTTCGGAACGGGAGGTTGCGGAGGATGCTGACTATCGATATATCGATAGACCCCCCCCCCCCCCATGACCCCAATGCTGCACACCGAATTTTTAAAAAAAAACTGAGTCCTCTGTCTTTTCGGAAAATGGTGGTTTGTGGGGTCGGTAACTTAGGCACAGAAGGTCGCAGAACGCTGAATATCAATCGGGATATCTGATACTTCTATTGGAATATCTGTTTATTGTGAATATATTATGATTTCTCCTGAGCTTCATCAACTAACTGTCCATAAGAGGAGAAGATCAGAACACTTTCGTGACTTGACCACTGAATAAAAATACAATTATTGATGTGTTGGCCGAGAAAGGTCATCGGGATTTTCCAGCGTGGGTTCTCCTTGTCAGTGGTGCAGGATGGCCGGGGGGGGGGGGGCTGACAAGGACAGCTGTCTAGTTGTTCGGATGGGACTAAAAATCGAGGTCCCGTGTACACACTGAGGTGCACGTAAAAGATCCCTTGAAAGGTGGAAGTCGATATAAGAATAGGCCGTGGCGCCGCTATCCGGACAAAATTTCCCTCATAGCACACTGTATCTGTATTGCGTAGAACAGTAGGACGTTAAACCTCATTTCATTTACAACTGGTGATTGTATATATGAAAAGATAACAGACTGTTAATATCCCTGTTTTTATGTGGAATTACCCAACCAGAGTAGCATATTTTAAACTCTGGTCTACTGGGTTAAATAGTATTTAATTTGTCATCATTAAACAAGGACCAAAGATAAATACATGTAGATAAAATGAAATAAAATCGGACTAACATTCACTGAAGTGGAACTATTTAGACAATAAACCAAATATAATCAGGAGATAGGGGTTAAACACACCCTGTTTTAAATTTAATTGGGTTTATTGTTCATTTAACTATGCTTGAATAATCAGAATATTGGTTTAATATTATGCCAAAACATTGGCACTACGACTCACCCTTATTTAACGTACTATTGCTCTGTTCCGACTGGGCTAATGAAGACGGACATACGCCATACAAAGTGCTAAGCGCCACGGCCTACCCTTATTTCGAATTCACACTGCCAAGGTTTCTTTTACGTGCAGGCCAACGTGTACATGGGAGCTCGTTTATTCGTCCCATCCGAAAGATATCACAGACAGGGGGGGGGGGGGGACAATCCCGAGGAAATTCCGCGGCAAACACCGGGATCGAACCCGGGTAATGTGGTGGGGACAAATATCAAGAAACCATTGTTGCAGAAAAGGACACTTGTTCTGTCAGTTCACGTATTGGACTGGTCCCTCTAACCAAATACCCTGCGCCCGCATATACTAGGCAATTTAAAGCACAGGCGCCTGTAACGTTGAAAATCTCTTTAATATAAAACTGTGACTAAGTGAGCTCGAGATTATAAAATAACTGCATGGTCTGAATCCGATTCAGGGGCAAATAATTCGTCTTAAAACGATTCTTTATCAGTAGAAATGAAATGAAATGGAGTTTAACGTCCTACTGTTCTGCTCCTAACCTGGGCTAATGAAGACGGGCATACGCCATACAGTGTGCAATGAGGGAAATTTTGCCCGGACAGCGGCACTACGGCCTACTCTTATATCGAATTCCAACTGCCAAGGGCTCTTTTACGTGCACGCCAATGTGTACACGGGACCTGGGGTTTTCGTCCCATCCGAACGACTAGACAGCTTTCCTTGTCAGCCCCTCCGTCCTGCATCACTGACAAGGGAGAACCACGCCGGAAAATCTGGATGAACTTTCTCGGCCAATGCAGGGATCGAACACCCGACCTCCAGGCTAGCGAGCTAGCGTCTTACCCACTTAGCCACGTGATCCCCCTTTATCAGTAGGCCTACTTAAAATACAAAAGGTGAGCAACAAAGCCACGGACAAAAGGTTGGGTGGGGGGGGGGGGTGTCATATATTCTGTCAACTAGTCGCAATACTCACTGGTTCTTATAGTTAGACTAGACAATCAAGTCTATATATGACGTCAATGTTTTTATCCGTCATCGTAGACTAAGGAGCCCCAATGTAGACAATAAAATATAGGAACTTACACGCTATAGCTAGGTAAGATGAACCAAATATCATGATGACTGTTTGTAGGGTGTCAGTCCATATTACAGCAGATAAACCACCTATAAATATAAACATGTAAATGTAATAATAATAATAATTCAAACATTTAAAATGTCTAAAAGGGACTTTTCAACAAAATAGCGTTTTACAGAGAGAGAAAAGGGTTTAACGTCCACTCGATACAAACTAGGTCATTTCGGGATTAACACATTGTTCAATTTAATTTCAATAATTCGCTTGCGCGTAGGGGTATTTAGCAGTGGAAGGAAACCGGAGGACCAGGAGAAAACCCACGAGGTTGGACAGGCGACCGTACTCCTTTTCACGTACAACTAGGGAATCGAAACCACGCCAGTTGACTCAATGACAGACCTTATGATACAGCGCGCACGTGATAACCATTCAGCCATCCAACCCCTCTGGCGTTTTACAAGGGAAGTTAAGATCTTTCTGAGTAATTGTATTTTTCGGAAATGTCTAATTTTTTTCGCGGCGTATCTACTTAAATTGATTATTTAAGATCTAATTCAGAAAACAAAATCAAAAATATCCACAAAGGAGCATAGTCGCTTGTGGGCTTTCTCTCGAGTTCTACGGTTTCCTAAAATGAAATGCGGTTTAAGGTCCTATTGTTCTGCTCCGAACTGGGCTAATGAAGACGGGCATGCGCTCTACAGTGTGCTACGAGGGAAATTTTGCCTGGACAGCGGCACTACGGCCTACTTTTATATCGAATTCCAACTGTCAAGGGATCTTTTAGGTGCACGCCAATGTGTACACGAGACCTCGGTTTTTCGTCCCATCCGAACGACTAGACAGCTGCCCATGTCAGGCCCTCCGTCCTGCATCACTGACAAGGGGTGGGGGGGGTCTTAAAGCTGCGTTCAAGAGAATTATTGAATTGAACATGTACCAACCATTACCATATGTTAGTCCCGACATGGCCTAGGTTGTGTTGGGTGGACGTTAAACTCTAGTTTGATGTGACGTTTTAAACTTACCTATGATTGTATATACAGCAGTTATAAGAGTAACACTAACTATAGACAAGTACATATCCCATCCTAAAGACTGTTGAATAAAAATGGCCCCAGCATACATACTCACCTGTAATGAAACATTGAAATTTGTTATAAATCAAATTTAAATTGTGTAAAAGAGAGAGAGAGAGAGAGAAAGAGAGACGGAGAGAGAGAGAGGGGGGGTTAACGTCCACTCGACACAAACTAGGTCATTTCGGGAATAACACATGGTTCAATTTCTTTTCAATAATTCGATTGCGCGTAGGGGTCTTTAGCAGTGGGAGGAAATCGGAGGACCCGGAAAAAACCCACGAGGTTGGACAGGTGACCCTACTCCTTGTCACGTATAATGTTGAAATATATATTGTATAATGTTAATAGATATATATAGTGCAATGTTGAAATATATACAGTGTAATGTAAACAGATGTACAATGTAATGTTAAAATATATATAGTGTAATGTTAATAGATATACAGTGTAATGTTAATAGATATACAGTGTAATGTTAAAGTACAGTGTAATGTTAAAATATATACAGTGTAATGTTGAAATATATACAGTGTAATGTTGAAATATATATATAGTGTAATGTTAATAGATATATAGTACAATGTTAAAATATATACAGTGAAATGTTAAAAGATATACAGAGTAATGTTAAAAGGTATACAGTGTAATGTTAAAATATATATAGTGTAATGATAAAATATATATAGTGTAATCTTAAAATATATACAATGCAGTGTTAAAATATATATAGTGTAATGTTAATAGATATACAGTGTAATGTTAATAGATATACAGTCGTGTGTTTATTACGAAACTATAATGTGAACGTATATGCAGAATAATTTTAATGTAAAGTTGGGAAGACAACCTTACTTCTTGTCCCGTACAAACCTTCATGGATAAGAGAGAGAAAGAGAGGGTGGGGGGGGGCAAAGTCCTCTGGACACAAAGTAGGTCATTTCGTACTTCAGGGCTAACATACGGTTCAATTTTATTTCAATAAAATAGTGGTCTTTAGCAGTGGGAGGAAACCGAGGACCAGGAGAAAACCTACGAGGTTGGACATGGGACAACACTCCTTCTCACGTACAAGCGGGGAGTCTGACTCAATGACAGAGCTTGTGATTTAACGCGCACGCTTTAAACCAACCGCCCTCATTTTAATATAAAGATCATCAAATAGAAAACACTTACTGATATTTTTTGAACGATTAAAAGGAATATGGCCAACACAGATAAATATGTTCTTAATCTTTTCCCGCCAAATCGCTTTTTCAAATAGCCAGGCATGGTGTAAGCCTACAAATATATAATTTTGGTTATAATATATATATAGCCTAATATACAACAGAGACAGACTTAAATTTAGATGTAAGCATATCTCATTAAATACACACATAGTTCAGTATCACAAATATTTTTTTCTTAATTTAAATATGTGTAACTGGAAAAGTGTATTAGGAAATTTCATATATTGTAAACCATGTAATTCCTGCAAGAAGACAAATATTAAAAGAAATATTTACCCCAGATGAAACATAGACAGGTACAAATATCCACCCTAATATCATTAATATAAACACAGCCTGAAATATACAGAAAACATGGAAATAATATAAGTCGTAAAAGATATCCATGTGGAAGAGCCATTCACAGCAGCAAGTGTGTCTTGATTGTACTTAGAAATGTGTCCACATCAAATATTATCAAATATCCTCCTAGTATCTAAAAGTTAATCGGTATCACATATTATCACATTTTAAAATGCAGGTGTGGCGTCATCCTTTGTTGTTGGCGTTCCATTATTTCAAATATTTATATTAGTTGAAATTTTGGATCCGCGTGACGTATTCCATTGCAAAGCACGTGCGATTGTCTGTATTGAATTGTTTAATGGTCTCGAGCTTAAGACATTGCTGACGTCCCTGGTGGTGTTTCAATAATATATTACTTAATGTCTCGCTCTCGACCATTAAACCACACATGGTATTGACAAAATATACAGGAAAGAATCGAAATAAAATAATTCGTGAAATATATCACCCATCTGCAGATAGCAAGCGTATTTACTTATAATAACAATAAATTTTTATTATCAAATATCCTTCTGTTATATCTAATACCATAGTAGTATCACGTATTAGCAAATTATATAGTATCAAGAATTACTGACAACATCCTGTATACTATGTTATTCACTACTTATATTAATTCATTTGTTAAAATGTCTGGATAAAACAATACATTCCACATGTAACTTACTTGCCATTCATAAATAACAACTCCCAAACCACTGGCTGCTGCAGAACCTGCCATTCCCACGAAGAAATGACTTCCGAAGTTTGTTGCGAAAATCGATGCTCCTACCTAGATTACAAGAAGAAAAAAAATCCAAATCTTTAAATGAGATGTTGTCGAAATACTAAAGAAACCAACAAGAACAGGGTGTTTTAACGTCAGAAAATAGCGAAAAATTACAATAAGCTCTGAATTTATAAAACCTAATAAAATATGTTCAGTACTCAAGATTTCACGGTTGTATAAAATACTGTGTTTACGATGTAAATCATCAGAATTCAAAATTACCGGAATCCATATCATATTTCTTCCCGCCAAAAAGTAGCCTTTCACACTTCCTGTGTTTTCTCTGCATGATGACTAAAAATAAATAAAAGTAGGTAAAGTGATTTTAAAAAGAAGGTTGAGGAAACGAGAGAAGTAGTGGAGGAACGAGGCCGACTGCAATCCATTTAAAATCAATCTATATGTCGTGTTTCATTTTTTCGAATTGTGAAATACCGTAAAGAAATTGTATGCCTATCTGTGCATACTTTTAAAGTCAGGTAGGGGGGTGGGTGGCAGAATGGTTAGCACGTGCGCACTGTATCATAAGGCCTGTCATTGAGTCAACTGGCGTGGTTTCGATTCCCCGGTTGAAAGTGACAAGGAGTAGGGTCGCCTGTCCAACCTCGTGGGTTTTCTCCGGGTCCTCCGGTTTCCTCCCACCGCTAAAGACCCCTACGTGCATGCGAATTATTGAAATAAAATTGAACCATATGTTAGTCCCGAAATGACCTTTCTCTCTCACTACTTAAGGATCCGACTATTCATGCTAAGGGGGTCATATATGGAGTCATGGAAATAAAACCAATCGTCATATTAAAAACCGAAAACGTCATCGCCAAATCAAAGATGGCCACCGTGATGACAAAATTGGTCGTATTTTGCCATTGACAAAACATGCAACTTGCTGCAATATACTGACTTGAGAGGGTTAAACACTTATAGTGCCAATTACTATCAGTCGTAAATGTAATCAACGTGAATTATTACAATTATAGTCTTAGTCCTTTCATGAGATTAACTTTAGCCAATATGTGCTTTGATTTATGGTCAATTAATAAGGGAAATCTCATGCAAGAAATAAAACAATTTGAATTGTAATTATGGCTTTAAATTCAAATTTCAACTTACCCAAAGTCCAACTAACATACACAGAGCAAAATAAGCTATTATAACAAGCAAATCCGCCCAGTGAAGCTCTGTCATGGTAAGATTTCAGAATATTTGGCCGTACTCAAATAATTGGCTCAACATTCACACACAACCATTCGAACACAACTTCTGGATTCCACGTATATCTTTCTTATACCTTGCTTTTAGGCTACAAAAATGAAGACATTTATCTGAAAATGAAACATAATGATTATAATGGTGTCGGGTAGGGGTTTGACATTGCACTCACATTTTGCTCGTTTTGGGGTTAAAAAAAATCTATTCTGAGCCTAGAGTCATCTTTTAACGAATTAAAGTTTAAAACGTCAACTTGTAAAATGAAACTGAAGTAGTGATTACACTAGATAAAGCCTCCCCCGCCCCACACACACCCTCCCCACCCATTTCCGATTTATAGTCAGATTCGTTATAACTCTACCCCTGATCTATTAGACAGAATTGACTAGTCTGAAAGAGCTAAATCTGTCTATTGCAGGTCTTTCTTTAGGTCTGAAATGTTATCTAAATTATTAATTAGATATTAATTAACTGATCCAGACCATAATCACCTCTCGATGTCATCACTAGCCTGCGATATTTCCTGGATTGGAATCCGATCTGCTGCTCAACGTTTATTGATGATTAAATCATGAAATGGATCATCGAAACTGTTTTTTCTATATATCGTACCGACTTTAGTAATGATGATCGAGGCTAGGCCGAAAATTCAATCGCTAAAATCTCGGTTAAGAGTGGATCAATTTGACTGAAATTTTCAGCAATTTCCTATTACATTATCTAGTTTTTAACCATTGTAGCGAGAACTGTCCGCTCTTTATCTAATCTCCCGTAATGTATCTTTAATTGGACATTAATTAACTTATTCAGACCATAATCAACTCTCGATGTCATCGCTAGCCCGTGTTATTTACTGGATTAGGATCCCATTTGCTGCTCAACTTTCATTCATGATTAAATCATGAAATGGATAATCGAGACTGTTTTTTTTTTATCTTACCGACTTTAGTAATGTTAATCCAGGCTAGACCGAAAATTCAATCGCTAAATTCCCGGTTCAGAGTGGATCAATTTGACTTAAATTTCCCGCAAATTCCCTTTACATCATCTAGTTATTTAACTATTATAGTGAGAACTGTCAGCTCTTTACCTAATCTCCCATAATGCCATAATGTATATTTAATTAGACATTAATTAACTTATTCAGACCATAATCAACTCTCGATGTCATCGCTAGTCCGTGATATTTACTGGATTAGGATACGATTTGCTGCTCAACTTTCATTTATGATTAAATCATGAAATGGATAATCGAGACTTTCACCATTAATATCATATAATTACGTGTCCTTTTAACGGGTGTTACAGCGTCAAGATTGAACCAAACAGGGGGTGGTCTGGGCCCGGTTAGATGTACACCAGTTTACCAATCATTACAGGTCACATGACAACACATTTTGGGGGAATTTACATGTTTTAAGTATATTTTGAGGCCGTGTATGGTAGTTTAATGTCCACTCAGTCCCGATTACTTTTCATTCAATCAAAAGGGGGGGGGGGCTGAATGATTAGCGTGCGCGCGCTGTATCATAAAGTCTGTCATTTAGTCGACTGGCCTGGTTTCGAATCCCCGGTTGTACGTGGCAAGGAGTAGGGTCGCCTGTCCAACCTCGTGGGTTTTCTTCGGGTTCTCCGGTTTCCTCCCACTGCTAAAGACCCCTACGCGCAAGCAAATTATGTAAATAAACCATATGTTAGTCCCGAAATGACTTAGTTTGTGTCGAGTGGACGTTAAACCCCATTTCTCTCTCTCTCTCTTATTCAAAAGTTTGACGCAGACTCACTAACTAGGAAGCCCTGGATTCGAACGCCGAGTTGATCGAGAAAAAATTCTCCGGACTTCCCACAGGATTAAGGACCTGGCAAGGAAACGGCGTCTAATCGTTCGAGTGGGACGACAGATCGAGGTCCACCCGTAAAAAACCATTGACATTGGACTTGGGTGAAGAGTTGGCGGACACGCCGCTGTCCAGGCAAAATGTCCTTCATAGCACATCGAATGGCGTATGTCCGTCTTATCATTTCTATTTTAAAGGGCCAATCTCGATTATATTTTGGAGAACACAACTGTTTAATTTTGTTTTAAAAGCCCGTAAAATCCTCTAACTTAGGGCCGATCAACTAACTCAATATACGTGATACGTTTTCAAACAACTTCAACCCGTCATTCTTCATCTGGAAATGGAGGTCGGTGTCCCAACCTGAGTCTGGATAAAAAAAACAATAGATTATCAGGTCACACAACGAAAAAAATGACCCGAATTCTTAAAAGGGTTACGTGTCCGGAAAGGCGGTTCTGACGTTCACGTCCAAACGACCCAATATTTTGGGCTGAAATTTAAAGACAAGGTAAATACCCCATTCCTCTATATTTTGGCGTTTAAATTTCATACGTACACGGAATTTTATTTCTGAGAATGTTAAATTCGGGATCGTCCCTTTAAAGTGTACGATGAGGCATTGTTTAAAGTTGAGGGTTACGGTTACGGTTATTTCACACTGGACACATATCTATATTGTCAATAATGACATGGTCTATGGTTTAATTATAAAATTCTTATCTTCAAAAATGTTTTATGATCCCGACTCAGCTGTTACTATAGCTTTCAGAGACCGGGGAAAGGTTTTCCACCTTTCGAGCTAATATTGACAATGAAGGCAATATCGTTTGCTTCAACATATTATTGATCTATGTTATAAATATGAATGAAACATATCTCTAGGTGAGTGAACTTGTTAAAGTGTGTGTGGCTCTATTTTTTGAAACCGTAAAATAGACGTAACTCGGTCTAAAAGCACATATTAAATATAAATATAAATCTGCCTATTTCAGGTCTTTCTACTATCTGATTCAAATACAGATCTATATTTCGTTTCGTTTTTTTTATACTAATTACGATGGCCTACAATACATGAAGATCTGGCCGGTTATAGCGATAGGTCGCGTCAGAGGTCATACGAGCGGCTTGTGACTCTATGACGTCAGACATTTTATTAAACAATCAGCATTGATGTTACCAGTGTATTACCCACAGTTCCGTGCAAAACACGCCTAAAACTCGCCATAACCGACCGTTTCATTGGCTAATCCATCACACCATTCAGAACACGTCAATGATAACAACTCTTTCAGATCCTAGTGTAGTAAAGACAATTAAAACGAAATTTTGAACAATAAAAATGAAACGAAATAGGATCTGTGCATTAATCAGATTGGTCTTTATTTAGGTCTGAAATGTTATCTAAATTATTAATTAGACATTAATTAACTTTTCGGACCATAATCAACTCACGATGTCATCGCTAGCCTGTGATATTTATTGGATTAGGATCCGATTTGCTGCTCAACTTTCATTCATGGTTAAATCATGAAATGGATAATCGAGACTGTTTTTTTTTATCGTACCGACTTAAGTAATGATGATCGAAGCTAGGCCTAAATTTCAATCGCTAAATTCTCGGTTCACAGTAGATCAATTTGACTGAAATTTTCAGCAAATTTCCTTTAAATTATCTAGTTTTTAACTTTAACTATTATAGTGATAACTGTCAGCTCTTTATCTAATCTCCCATAGTGTATCTTTAATGTACTGAATGTATATAAAGGGATATCTATTCATCTTTTTAAAAATAATATTGTAATTTCTAATCAATTATGTTCGGTCAAATACATGAACAGTTAAAATTCATCGACATTCGTTTACGTCTTCTTAGTCCATTCTAGTGATAACTGTCAGCTCTTTATCTAATCTCCCATAATGTATCTTTAATGTACTGAATGTATATAAAGGGATATCTATTCATCTTTTTAAAAACAATATTGTAATTTCTAATCAATTATGTTTGGTGAAATACGTGAACAGTTAAAATTTAACGACAGTCGTTTACGGCTGGTTAGTCCATTCTACTTCGAGTTGTTTTTTTAATTATTATTTTGTTATTTTTGAATCAGTTATTTCTAATTGCTTCGGCATTGTCTCGTAGGGTATGTTTTTCTTTGTTCATTACAAATGGCACCCAAAACCATAGAATAAACGACTCGTGTACTAATTATAAAATGTTCATTGTGTCTTAAATATTGGATATTTGTATCCCATATTTTCACGACAAGAAACCAACACCAATAATAATTGAAATGGACCAATATTGAATTCTTATTCGTGTTTTTAATGTAAAAATATGCTATTCTAGGGGTATAGCTCCTTTAAAGTAGAGTTTAGAGTATAAAACAAAGCGATTGTAATTTATCACAGTTATTTAAGTGAAACGTCAAGAAGGTGTATTTCATACACTGGATAAAAAAGACAGTTATTTATGTTTTAATATTTAATATTTATATTCGGTTGTAGTAAAATATATTTACATACATTTGTTAAGTACAGCGTATACTTAGCTATTCTCGAAAGATGCAACATTTAGGTAGCAAATGCTAACTGGAAGCATACAATAACGTCCTACAAAATTTGTGTATATATGCTTTTCGGTTGTAGTAAAATATATTTACATACATTTGTGAAGTACAACTTATATTTAGCTATTCTCGAAAGATGCAACATTTAGGAAATGCGAACTGGAAGCATATACAATAACGTCCTATAAAATTTGTGTATATTATGTTTTTTAACCTGACAAGGACAGCTGTCTTATAGTCATTCGGGTGAGAGAAAAAAACCTAGGTCCCGTGTACACATTGGCGTGCACGTAAAAGATCCCTTGACAGTTGGAATTCGATATAAGAGTAGACCGTAGTGCCGCTGTCCGGGCAAAATTTCCCTCATAGCACACTGCGTGGCGTATGCCCGTTTTCATTACCCAAGTTCGGAGCAAAACAGTAGGACGTTAAACCCCATTTCATTTTATTTCATGTTTTCTTTTTTAATAAACTCTATGCTGCATTTCACTCTACCTTTGTAAGACCACTGATAAATCGTTTTATTTAACAATTTCGATAACCTCACGCATACTGCACTAAAACTGTCATTGGGTTAAAATATTATAAAAGGAATATATAATATGAATATAAAATGTGCTTTAACGTCCTATACTGTGCTGTTCCGACTGAGATAAAGAAGACGGGCATACGCCATACGCTGTACCGCGAGGAAAATTTTGC